GGAAAGGTCAATATGAGATGTAAATATTGGTGCAATGCACCCAACCTAAAGATGAGAACTGCCCGTCTCCAGTGGTTTTCTGTTGGACAGCACTGAAGATGAACAATGCAGAAAAGGTCTCTACCAGCTGCTGAATGGAGAAACAATGCTCCTCCAGAGAGAGGAGAGGAGCAGTAAATCAAGGATGGAGGGAATATGAGCCCCCAAACCATTAGTCTCTGTCATCAACCCTCCCCCCATCTCTCCCATTCCTCTCCTCTTCCTCTCATCTCAGTTCTCCATCTCTCCCTCTATTATGTCCTTTCTCCCCCCATCTTCCTCTCTGCCCCTGTATTTCCCAGACAGTTAGAGAGAGTTGCAATAGATGCTGATGATGTGAAACTTCATATCTGCCAATTTCAGTGTGGATTCACTCTGCAGAGTTTCATGCCCCGAGAAAGACATAACTAGAAGTATGTATTTCATTTTCATGTAATTATAGAAAATTTACCAGGACGACATGAACACAATATTTTAACAAATCTAATTGTTGCATATAAGATTCTGTGGTAGAAAACCAGATATCAAACAGACAAAATGGAAGACCAGGACCTGGAGATGGAGAGAAAAAGAGACAGATGAGACACAAACATAAGTCATATTTTTGCTCTTTCCATGTAAAACCAATGGAAAATCTACAAGAGCTATGAGTTGAGCTGTTAATTAGGTTTCCTCCAAAAGATAATCAAGATACTTGGTCAAGCTTTAATGTGTGTGTGTGTGTGTGTGTTTGTGTGTTTGTGTCTTGTGGGGCATGTAGACTTATTCCCAGGGCCAAAGTAGGGCAGGAGAGCCTGGCATTGACTCAGCTTCCTGCATGAGTGACCTGAGGAAGGAGCGTGTGTGTCTATGCCTGTGTGTCTGTCTCCACCCAACAAGAAACTGCTGTCAAAGACGGGGAGGAGTCAGTGAACGCACCAGCGAACAAGAGATACCGAGAGAGAGACAGATGCGAGGAGTGTAGCAGAGAGAGAGAGTTAGCATCTGTTGTTTTTGTGGCAGCTGAGCAGCGCTGGACTGATATTATACACACACAGACACACATTTCCTTTCTGTGCCACACACACTACTGCATACCTACACACACTTCTTTTCACACATTCACATGCTGAAGCCAAAGTGGAGCGGACATTAGATCTTTTCCTTCATCGCTCTCTTTCACAGATCTGCTCTCCTGCTCTGTTTTATGCACTCATTCACACCCTGGGACTCTAAGCTTCAAACCTCACAGTCTCACACACACACACACACAGTGATCTGTAAGCCACAGTGCCGGCATCGCATCGTGTGGACGTTGAGGCTGCCTGTCTGCCAGCAGCATGTGAGTACAGCTTAGCGAGAGCTGGGAGAGACGGACTTGAACCAGTGTACTTGTTAACATTCTGCTGATTCCTTTAACCTGTAGCACTGCTTTAGTTAAGGGACTTTGAGGGTGTTTTGAACGGATGGTAAAAGCTCATATTGGACTAAAACAGTAGACTCGTTCTGGTGAGTGTGGTGCTTGAACACTGTTATACCTCTTATGACCAGTGATGCAGTATTAACATGTTACTCTGTTTTTGGTTTAATGATTTTCATAGTATTGGAAATGATCAGTGATGGTGATTTATTAAAAACAGTCTCATGGTTTTTTGTTTGTTTGTTTTCTGATCCACTGGCTGAAGTGAATCACTGATGCTTTTGCCATCATTTGTTTTTTAAGACTTTGAAATATAATTATGAAGGTTGCAGTTCTGACTTCGCAGTACTAGGTTTCAGCTTTGGTCCTAAAACAGAAGACCATCAGAGCTGCAGCCTTGGCAGCGCTGCTGTGTCCTTCTCCTCAGGACTCAATAACAATAATACCTTATCTGCAACATGGCCTTTGTTCTGTAGACCATAAAGAGGAGCAGTACCTCTATAGCTCTTCAATATCTTTGCTTCCATAATTTTCACACCGCTTCATATTGATAAACTTTTGTATTTATTACACAGTGCGACTCACAGTGATATGATTTCACATCAATAAATCCGGGCTCAGCCAGAATCATTAATCTGACTCCTCTCCATGTCTTCTTGTCTCTTCCTTCTGTCTTATTTCACCATCCCTTTCTGTTACTCTTGCTCTTAATCCAGTAATGCTGACATTGATCTGATGTGTGTTGGCAAAAACAGCTGGATTTTGATGATATGAAACTTCATTTCCGGTGATTTTCATGTGTGTGATCACTCTGTGGCATGTGAAACATACAGAAATAGGCGTCCTAATCCACCAATTTCTAATGGATCAGAGCCGAGACTGAAAGTGCCCGGCTGAGGTGAGCAATGAAAACTTATCAGGTTAAAGAAAGAAATTAAATTTTCAGGAAAAGGTCACTTTGATTTTCGGATCGGAGGCGTACCATGATTTTAAGATGATGAAAATGTGATTCAGCCTAATCCATGCTGTCTGCACATAGCATAAAATTAAGTAAGTGGCTGTAAATACTGAATACATAAAGGTGAATATGTTTAGCATGCAAGGCTTTGAGCCTGTTTAGTACAGTTGTTTGTGTGTATAGTATAATTGTCAATGTGTAAGATTCATACATGCTTTGAGGGGAAACAGAGCCAAGATCTGGGTGTTGCAGGCTGGTTTTTACAGACTGAGGCCGTATGTAGACAGGTAAACAAGGAAAGGCAAACAGAAAGGGAGGAAAAGCCAAAAAGTCAAGAGAAACTGCAGGTTTCAGATCAACATATGTGTTTCTGTGTGTGTGGGTGTGTGAGTGAATGACCGTGTGCACCTCGAGTATGATTGAATTACTCAGGGTTAATTAGATTCTGTAGTCGACAGTAATGGTACAGACACACACAGACACACAAACGGGGATTTCCTTCAGAAGGGCCTCTTCAGGTTTACTGCCAGCGGCGCTGTCATCCATGTGGTGGATCAGAGGTTCCTGGGAGGCTGTGTTGTATTAAGAGCAGGAGACAGTCGGCGAGGATTTATTACAGCACATTATTCTGCTGTTTGTTCAGCCACACTGAATCAAAAATACCACAATATACTCTTATTTGTAGACAGCCATCTGCCGGTTAAAAGTATATATGTTTACTCTAACAGCCATGAATGCACAGAGAATGCATTCTGTCATTTGTTTTTACACTTTGTGCATTTAAATAAATAATATACATTTATAACTGAAGTGCCACGGTGGCATTTTTACAGCCACTAGAATAAAAAGGTCACAAACAAAATGTAGCAGGAGGATGCTAAAGCTCAGGGCTGTTGTACTGAGTGTGTAAGCAAATCATTACACTTTGCATTGGCTGGCCAGCTGCTTGCTCTCTCATCTCTTGTCATTCAAGTGATATGGGGATACAGCTGTTCCTGGCAATTAAACTGGAAGTGCTATCTCTGTATTTGTATATGCAAAATGGAATTTGCACGAGTTTATGAAGCAACAGTTTTAGAAAGTGACAGTATTGAGGTTTCTTTGTGCAAGGGTGAAAATGTGTCCCGGCAGTCGACATAAAGTTTCCACTGCACTGCACACACTCAGTGACAAGAAGTGGTTTTTCACAGATCAGCAAACAAATCAGCCATTTTGTAGGTACCCCTCTCTGTTTTCCTTACAGTACACATGAATTGACTTTTTTATTTTTAATTCCAGCCTTGTGTGTTTCCAGTGCCAGAGGTCTGCTTCATGTCACACCTCTGTGCTTCAACGTCACTGTGTGAAATCAGTGCATGTGTATAATATGACGCTTGTCACGCAGAATTCCCATGCGGAGTTGCTTATTTGGCACCTATAGCACGACATGTAGGCAACTGATGTCAGGTTTGTCTCACACATCTCAACTTTTCTACCAGAATCCCACTTTGTTTTAATGTGATGCTCTGTATTGTAATTTGATATATTTAATTTATGATGTCTAAGTAGTTCTTCATTTGTTCTTTCTTTAATATTTGTATTTTTTCTTTTAACAGTTATTTGCTGCTTATTTTGTCTGTTTCTGTTTGTATGAAATTTGTTAAATCATATTGTATTTATTAGTTTAGTGTTTTGGTTATTTTGTCCTTTTTTTTTTTTATTGAAGTTAAGGGGAGGTCCTTTGCTTCGCCGGGAATAAGAATAAGGACATTGTGAAAAATAGTAGCCAAAAATTTTTTTTATTTAGTCAGTTTATTGGATTAAGGCACTAGCAGGGCTAGTTGTTGTTTCCACATTTCAACATTGCAAGATGTATTTATCTTAACAAATATGCTCTCATGTATTTATGAATAACATATCATGCATGATTCTATTGAGACAGGCTTTTAGGAGTTCAGATGACGGTGTACCTGAGCCTCAAGCCGATTGTTTTAGTGTGTATGGTTGTAGACTGTAGGTGTGTGTGTGTGCTGGTGATGTGGTGATGTTATTGACATGGATGAGGTCTGATGAAACATGGGATAATATTCAGCTCAAATAGCCTATTAGATGATGGCTGTAGAGGATCTGTTGACAGCTCAAAATGTGCTTGTGCATGTCACAAGTCCGTTGTGTGTGTGCATTTCCCTTCTGCGCTTGAGCATGGAAAATAAATTTCCTGCTGTTTTTGTCCCATCTCACGTCGTGCTCAGCCACTTGTGAGAAATGTGGTTAACACTGTGCATAAATGTCCACCACCCTTAAAGTTGTGTTTGTTCCTGCTTTGATCTACTTCTAATGTGGTTCCTGAACTACTGAGCAGTGCATTGAAGTGCGAAAAATCACCATCATTCAGCTGTTTCTAATGTGAAGTAACAGGAAGCTTGTAAAAGTAGCTAACGTTAGATTTTCTGTAACTATTTAAATAGTAAATTTAAGGATCATTCTTAAGGGAAATATGCTGTATATAAAACAGAAAATTATCAGACCTTTGACGAACCTCTAAAGTAAAAAGGTAAGACCTGTCATCTAAATTCTGCTGGGTCTAACTATGTTTGTCCCCTTTGTGTGTGTCTGTGTGTGCAGAATATAGTCGTTTTGAAGCGAAGATTCATGACCTGAGGGAACAGATGATGACGAGCAGTGTCAGTTCCAGCTCCACGTCGCTCCGATCCACACAGAAACGCACGCTCTACATCAGGTAACACACACAGATGTACTGTACACACACAGAAGTGACCGATTGTGCCCTTCAGTGTGACACAGCTCCTATAAGGTCTTATCTCAGCTGTCTACTCTGTGTTTTGTGTGTGTGAGTCGCTGAAAGAGAAGATGTCACATTGAAAATCACAATTCGATTGTCTGACAATTACTGTCTCACACACACACACACACACACATTCATTGGCAGTCAGCTCTCTTTATCAAGGTGTGTGTGTGTGTGTCCTTCTGTCTTTGTTCATTCTTGTCTCTGCCTGCCCTGCTTGTTCAGTCTTCTCTGAATCACCTGGTCTCTCTGTAGTTTCCTCTGCAAAGCCCAGAAGCAGCTTCACTCCTAAACCCGTTACACTTTAAAGATCCTCTCTTCTCATGAATCACAGTATTTGAAATATTGATTCAAGAGGAGGTCGCTGGGTTCTAGTCGCATTGAAGCGCCTGCAAGATCAATAAGGTGGAAAATAAAGAGAGGAAAAGCAGCCCTAATGGTAGCGCTAATGATTAAATCCACTAGTGAAGCTTTTTAAGGATACAAGGAAACATTTTTTCAGGCTATTAAGATAAAACACATAAAAACAGCAAATATCAGTCATGGTCTCTTTCAGTAATTAGTAATAAAAACTCTGTTTGCGTTTTTTTATTTGTATTTCATTATTAGAAACAAAACAAGCCATTTTTTTCTCAAATGTGAGTTTCCAAAGAAATAGAAGACAGTCTTTTTAAATACAGGTAGACAAATTCTATCATGCAGCAGTCTGCTTATAGTGGATACTGCCAGAGGATTTATGGTGTCCTGAATGTAACCTCACTGAACTTTAACAAGCTATACATGCAGTCCACATTAAGATACTGCTGTCAGTGTGACATCAGGAGCTCTTGTGCTGTTAACATAAAGTAAAATAACCTATTTTTTTAAGTTTGTTTTTATTTCTTACCCTAAAACTAAAATACCCTGCATGAAAGGATTATCTGACCTGACCTGTGTGCAAGTGGCCTGGAAGGAAAAGGTGGCAGCAGCTGTGACAGGGTCACCCTAAACTACACTCAGACTGACTCACACAGAGAGGTGCACTTAGATGCTGCAGGAGATGCTGCTGTTTATTTGGCGACAGCATAACAATGGGGCCGCCATGTTGGTATAGCAGTGCAGCGCCTCCTAATGAATGAATGTGTATGGAGGTCTATCTACAATCACAAAGCGCTGGGTGGACAGACAGACCTACATCATTAGAGCCTCACCACTAGTATGAGTAAAAATCACATCAGACTTAAACCAGGAGAAGCACACACACCAGACAAAACTTTGAAACCTCAAAACGAATATGATACAAGCAGGGCATGTTGTGCACCACTGTATAGTAATAGATTTAATAAGAAAACATCCATGTGTAAAGTACAGTAATTCTTGTGACACCTTTTGTAAGTTAATCAGTTTACTGACAACATTCCTCTGAGTCTTACCACAGACAGGCTGCTATCCTTTTAAGGTTACAGTGTAATAGAATGATGTTGAGAACTCACATGACAAATTATCGCCATATGACAAGTTCCTGTATCTGGCCACTGCCTGTAAATGGCCAGTCGGTATGCAAACATTAAACAGGAAACCTCCAACTGGCAGCTGATTGGTCAAGTTAAGGGTGCTGTTGTGTGACAGATTGGGGGTATCTGGTGCTCTGGGCTGTCTTATGTGTTCAGGCATGTACACACAGGGTGTGTGCATGTGTGTGGTGTTTGTACTATATGCATGTGTGTTATGTAGAAGACACACACTAACCTTTCCTCAGATGAAATGTCACTGACGGAAAGTGACGTACACTGTACTGTGCTTTGTATGAAAAGTGTGCATGTGTGTGTGGGTTTGTGGCTTTGTTTTTTTATACTTGTTGGGTTGAGTAACAGGGAGCACACTATCTAATATCTAATCCCCACAAAGTAAATCATTGAATTTTATGAAAACAGGGGTGTGTGAGGTTAGAACAGCTTTGGTTATGGTAAGGGTACGACTCTATATTGTAACTGTGTGTTTCACAAAGATTCACCTGGAAGTTCACTGGTTATAGCTACAAAATAAATAACAAAATCCCACCCCTATAATATATTTTGGATTCTCAGTAATACAAACAATTTTAAACATTTACATAAAAAATATAATATTTATACTTTTAAAAATAGCATATATTTATTTCTGTAGCTGCAAAGTCTCCTTTCATATGATTGGACTTTTCTCCTATGGAGAGGTTGAAAGTAAAAAAAGTCTATAATCATAACTTGGACTCTGCTGGTGTCCTAGCATTTTGTGGGGGTCAGTGAACATTGTACAAAGCGCTGATGCATTGACTGGGGTTTAAAGCCTGTTTAAGGGCTTAGAGTCATATTCGCTGGACACAGAAACGTGATCTCAGTCTGTGTAGTGTTAGTCTCTGATGCAGATATCAGTTTTGAAGCACTTCCTCGTGACGTCGGCTTCATGAAACTGAATACTATGGTTTTAAATTGCTTGATAGCTTTGTTTTTAAGTGTGTTGATTAAATATGGTTATGATGTTCAAATTATATAGTAGCAAATGGTAAGCAAACTGATAAAGAATAGTCACCACATTGTTGTATAATACATATGTACAAGTTTTGTGTCTAAAGTCTGTTTTTCCTCATCTAAAGCAAAGGTTTTAGGGAAGAGAGTGTCATATTTTAAATAAATGTGATTTGAGGCTATACAAACACAAGTGATATAGATTACCAGCTGTGCAAACACAGCAGTAATATTGTGTTTGTTTTTAAGGAAAGTGTACAGTGTAACTGTATATATCTGTTACACACCCAATTAATTAATGTGTGTTTCTTCACACAAGTCGTTAGATTTCAGAGGTTCCCACGCAGGATTTACTGAGAAGAGGTAATGGATTCAGAGTAACATTTACATAGCTGTGCCCTTAATAAAACCACACGCCATCCATCTGTGTAACCTACTAGCTGTCAAGTCATTTGGGATGTGTCATCGTGATCTTTTTTTGCTATAGAGTTTTTTTTTCCTTTTTCTTGCTGTAACTTACATTTTCTTCAGTAATCAAACTCTGCGGAGTGGTGTAATATTTGACTTTTTTTTGTTTGTTTGTTTTGATTATTTGAGGAAAACCAGACCTGTAAAAGAAACCATGACCATGAGTATGAGCTCCATTTGATGTTTTCTGTTACCACTGATGCATCAGTCCAGTTTACACTAGTGTGACATGTCATCTGATCTGGTGGTCATGGTATTTTACTATTGCAAAGCAAACTTTATTTATATAGAATCTTTCTAAAAGGGGGGAAAAGTTAAAATAATTAAAATAGACATTAAAAGGAGTTAAAATATACATGAAAACATAATAAAAACTACTAAAATCCAAAAACTAATCAGAAAGCCTCAGACTACACCAGTATCAAATGCTCGTCTCTGTCATTGTGTTTTGAGGAGGACATCACACGGTAGACTGTTCCAGAGTCTAGGAGCTGCCACAGCGAAAGCTCTTTCACCTCATTGTTTTAATTTGGATCTAGGTATATCCAGTAAAAACTGATTGGACGACTGTGGAGTAAATTTAGTCAATTCCAGTTAATCAGTAACATCCTGCCCAGTAGAGGGATTTGAACTGTTGACCCTCGGCTCATAAGATCGCATTAGTATCAGACACGTCTGTACCGTACAGTCATTAACATGCTCATGTGAGTCCAACCTAATGCAGATGTCACATCTTAATTCCTCTAATTTAACATCAATAAAACAGTGGTGTTTGTGTACCATAGTCAGCGTCTGTGTGTGGCTGCTTCTTCTTCTGATTTTCTCTCCTTTCCTCACATTTCCTTCTTCTCTGTCTCTGTTTTATTGATGAAGGCAGTGGGCACTTTAGGGGATACCGGTTATTTCAGCTCTAGTTCCTTTGCTCATACACTCGCACAAACACATGCGTGTGATATCGCTGGCCTACTTTTCCAGGTCTTCTCCCTCTGGACGGGGTTGGGACTCTGTGGTCACAGAGGCAGATCACACACACTTTCATACACAGCAACACACAAATGCATACAAACAAACTGGCACGTACACAGACAGAAGTGTACAGCTGTATACACGAACACGCACCCAGGCATGCACACCTAGACAAGGTCATAAATTAGCAGTCCTCAGCTGTTGGTGGCTCTTGTTTATTACAATAGACCTCTGTCTGGATTTGTCACTTTATTTTTATGTAATGCTATGTTGAATGTCAAGTTGTAAATAAAGATTTTGACCATTTTTTTCTAATTTAGAATGAAGATACAATGTATGTGAATATTTTAAATGTGTTTGGTTGTTTCATATGTAGGACAACACAAAATCAAAAGCATTTCATCACCCATCTGTCTCTGCGTCTCTCTGCAGAGCGTTGTTCGACTACGATGGAAGTGCGTCCGATCTGAGTGCGCCCAATCAGGCTTTGACGTTTCATTTCGGGGATATCCTCCATGTGAGCAGCACTGGTGAAGAGGAGTGGTGGCCCGCCCGTCACTTCAGCCCCCCGCCCCCCAACTGCCCTGAAGTTGGGGTCATCCCCAGCCGCAGGAGGTCAGAGTTCAGGGGGGGTTTCAGATGGGAGTGGATGGTTGATTTGATTGATTCTCACTTCATTAAATAGAGCAAAGCCTGTGGGTTAGCTCACGCCCAGTTCCCGTCACTCGCACTGAAATTGCATTGCAAAAGGGTTTGTAAAGAACAGGAAGAACAATTACAGCAAGAAAAATCTGTTTCAGTGTTCAAAAGGGCTCATGATTGTTGTTTTAAGATATTAGATAGAATAACAACATGAACACTATGTCATATTCTAGCCACTGGAACAAACACTACTGTAGATGTGCAACTCCATGGTACACTGTACTCCTGTGTACAGTGAAACAAAAACGAGAGGGCTGTTGATTTCAGCTCAGTGACAGCTGTCAGTAGCAACATTTTCCAGTTAGTTTAAATTTACTTCAGTGTGTCATTTTGCTGTTGGCTCAAACCCTGCTTTCATCATCATGTAGAACCCAGTGAATGTAAACCTGTGGTGGAAATAGAGTAATATCTTCTCACCTATTGGTCTCTGTCTTGCTCCTTGTTTCCCTGATGAAGGAGGTGACAGAAAGATGTTGGTAGCTCTCTAAAGTGGGATTAGAGAAGTGTTATTGCTTTTTTCCACTGAGGTAGGTGATAAAGTGATGAAGAGGAATTGAGGGTTGTGCATCGTGATGAAGTGGAAAGCAGGAAAGAGCGAGAGAGTGTTAAAATGAGAATGAGAATAAGTGAAAGAGGGATCAGAGGCAACAAGGATGGGAGTGAGCAAAGGAACATGCAAAGGATGGTTGTAGACTGCCTCATATAGGTTTAGATGGTGTGGTGGAAGAATCTGGAGTGCATTATGAGAATCTGAATAAATTTAGTAAAAGACTGATAACTTTGTTTATTAAGACTTTTTAAAATATGAAGTATTAAAGAAGACATGAGGATACATACTGTATGTCAGAGGTTTTGGCATTATAGGATCATTATGGATCATTTGACGCTGATATTGTTCAACAACTGGTTTGAGAGATGTGAAGTTAATGTGTGAAATTAGCAGTCAGTCTTTTAATATAGGCTGTCCTCTGATATCTGCACATCTCCTGTCTGGACCTCCTCTCCTCTCCTCTCCTCTCCTCTCATCCTACTCGTCCTCTTCTTACTTTTTGCTCACTTTCTCATCTATTTGCCTCTCCTTCCCTTTTTGCTTCACATTATTCTCCTCCTCTCCTTTTTCTACTCATCTCTTCTCTTTTCATCTCCTCTCCGTTTGGCCTCCTCCACTTTCTGCTCCTCTTCTTCATTTCCTTTTCTTCCTCTCTTCCTCCTCTCAACCTTCTTCTCTTTTTTTGTTTCATCTGCTCTACCACATTTCCTCCTCCTCTATGCATCTCTTCATTCCTTCTCTCCTCCTCTCTTCTTCCTTCTTTCGTTTCAGCTGTCTCCTGTTTCATCTCTTCATCCTGTTCTTGTCTCCTCCTGCCCCCCCACCTCTTCTCTCCACCCTTCTTTTCCTCTTCTCATCATCAAGTAAATAAATACAAGTTTTTGCTTTCAGTGATGCTCTTTGGAATAAAGAAAAAGGAGGAGAGTACTGTAGAAAGCCCGGGTTAAAGCCAGAGAGAAGAAACACATACAACATACAGTATTTGTAGATGCAGTAGTGTAGACAAGCTCTCGTGAGGGTATTGTTGGGTTGGATAACCTTTCAGAGCTGAACTGTCATCAGGGATTAAAACAGGAGAATGGCCTGCAGTCCAGCACTTTGGCCATGTAATTTCTAAAATGGAAAACAGTGCTGCTGCTGCTCTGGTTTCCGTTACTATGGTTAGGCTGTATGCCGACAGTATAACTGGCTAAAAAGCTGCATCATGCAAGACTCACAAAAATCAGTCTGACTGTTCAGCCTAAATAATAAAACAGGTCTTCAACAAAGAAACAGGTCTCTTAACTGAGACACTGGAGGTTCACTTTATTTAAAATTCAAGCAGTGAATGCAGTCACTAGCAGGAAATGGTCCTGCACAGGAAGTGACAATTCTAAATTTAAACTTTGGAGACAAACCTGTCACCACAGCAAGAGCAAGCAGACCCTCTATGAAGAGAAAATGTCTTTTCTACTCTGTGGATGAAATATTCTAATGTTGTTTCATTCTTATCCTTTCATTTGCTGTAAGGTAATCATGGCTTATTGAGATTCTTTCACATGAACATGATATCCGCTCGTTATGTTTCATAATATCGTCATAATTTAGTCCACAAAACTTACTTGGCTTCCTCTCACAGCTACTCAGAAATCCTTTAATCTCATAGTGATGCTTATAGGCAATTCAAATATAGTAAGCTATGAAGTTAATAAAGGCATATTGTGTGTTATTTTGGTGTGTATCCCTTCACAGATACTGGCCAGTTTCATCTCTATTTTTGTGTTAACAATAATGTTGTGTAGGCAGTGTTTCACGGGCTTAGTCTAATGTTTAGGAATAATTTAGAAATACATTTTTGGTATCAGAAAAAAGGTCACATGATTGATGTTTTTGATTTTTTTATGGCACACTTTCCTCTGTGCGCTACCTTTATCTGTGCAAATGAACTGCTACAAGGCAGCTACACTTCTGTGTGTGTGCTTTTATCCCTGCTCTCTCTGTCCTCCTTCCTACTGTGGGTTTTTCATCTTGTCTTTGTTGGCACCTGTCTTCTCTCATCATTTCTCTTAATGATGTTTTCTGTCCTTCCTTCTTACAGGGCAGAGAAGAAGGAGAGGTCAAGGTTAAAGACAGTCAAAGTGACCAGGTCTCAGGAGAGATCGGTGAGTAGCAGCTTGTCATATAAATCCTAAAATTGCATCTTATAAGAATGGAAAAAGTCACAACTTACAGTTAACGAGTCAAAACTATTAGGGCTCTAACACTGGGTAAATTACCCAAAGCAGCGGTGTGTTACACCATCCAACAGATTACATTCCAATTAACACAAGCAGCAGGATGAACAGTCTTCCGTTGCCTTTCTGCTTCTTTGTGATTGATTATACAAAAGAAGCACAGTTAGATTCAAAGGCTAAACAACCTGCTGTAAGTTTGGGAGCTACTATCCACATCAACAGGTCATGTGATCATGTAGTGAATTCATGCTGTTTAATAAAGCGGGACAGGATGAGTTTCTTTTTTTATCCATAACAACAGATGCTAATGCTAACCATGCTGTTCCGCTGACAGGGACGCCAGGTCCGATTACACTTGTATGTGTCATTCTGGAAAGCAGTTAGAAACACTGTTTTTTGTTGTTTATTTTGGAGGAGCTGTTGCTTTAACAGAAAGCAATAAGCAGACCAGAATCCTGACAAGCTGAGAGGTCGGGTTTATATCCTGAAAGTTATTCTGGTGAAGCAGAGCTATGGGGTTTTTTTTTTAAATGAATCCTAAAGCTAGTGCACAAACCTTTTCAAATACCTACAGATAAAAATAACAGGTAGTTGTTCCTGATATTGGTAGAAATTCATTTTTATTATTTGTTTTTTAATCATCTCTTTTATGGGAAGTGAGCTATAAGCCTGAACAATAACACATATTTCTGGCATCATGATAACATTTTAAAAGAGACATCTAAATGACATTTGCTGAGGGGGAGCATCACTGCAATCATTTGATTTTTCCATGAACACATCAGTGAGTCAGAGAATTTGTTTAACAAAAAGTTTTTTAGTGACAGCAACACCACCTGTTACTAGAAACACTGTAGGTGAGTTAACTTAATTAATTGGAGACTAGTATACAGACAAGTATTTCATGACTTTACTATTTATGATCTGGAAAGTTCCACTGTCAGGTGGCGATGAGGCTTTAATCATGCTTCACACAGCGTGATGATGAGAGCTGCCACACGAGTCTAACACAAGCTAGTGATATCACTGCAATGTCACCTCGATCTCTGTTTTCCTCACACCATGTGAATCAGCAGCTCTGCAATCAGCATCTCTGTGTAGTGAAGAGCTGATAATTAAAAATAATCACACACACTGGCACATGATGCAACTCCTGGCACAATGCTTTGAAAAAATTGCAATTAGTCTTATCCTCTCACTCACTGACGCACTCACTGTTATGCTGTTCATAACAGATATTATTCTGATCATCTTCAATATGTTGATTAATGCTCTCTCTCTCTCTCTCTCTCTCTCTCTCTCTCTCACCCTTTCTCTGCAGGATGAGGATGATAAAGGTAGGTATTCTCAACAACAGTGACACCTGCTGGTCAGTGTGTGAAACTCCCGCTCTTAAGTAAACCTGTCTGTCGATAATCACTCACCTCCACCCTAATCTTCAATATATAAACCCCTCTTCAAACTCTTCCTCGTTAATTCTGCACTGGGATGAAGGAAGAGGAGCATGGGAGGAAGATGGTGCACTGATACATTCTAAAGTTTGAATCCATAAACAATCACTGTTTGGGATCGATCTGTTTAATCACTGACAACAGGTGGAGTTTCTGCTGATAAGGTGTAGCTCGAGGCCATCCAGCCACCACAAGTTCATTTTAATTTCACCCTGTCAGGAACAAAAATTATTAGCAATACTACAATTTAAAAGTAATCTATTACAAGTCAGTGATACTACTGGATTACTATTATTAATCCATTAAAATCAGCATTTTAATATTAAACTAGCTCCCCGTTTACCAGCTGTGCCATATAATGTGATGTGCACAATAATGCATCAATAATTTCAATACAATAATATGATAAACAATGTTAAATGTGCCATTCTGCATAATGAGTACATTAACTTTAAGTATGTTTTGAAGCTAATACTTTTGTACTTCTACTTAAGTAACATCTTGAATGCAGACTTTCACTTGTAAGTGAAAGTATTTTTACACTTTTGTATTGCTACTTTTACTTAAGTAAATGATCTGAGTACTTCTCCCACCACTGCAAATGCTTTTGTGACTGAATGTGAGTAATTCTCTGCAGCTGGGCTCCATAATCCCAGAAGAGTTGAAGCTGTTGTAGCAGCATATGGATGTTCATGGTTCTGGAGTATCAGCAATTACACATAATTGTATTGTATACTATAATTGTATACTGTTCTGGTCCGCACAACAGCCAGTGTAAAAATTTACTCACATTGTACTTGTCCAGGTATCCAATCCAAAGTAAAACTGTGATTTTGTTTGCTCCCAAAGACTCACAATAGTGTTAACTCCTGCCTATGAAGTGATACTACTTCAGCTTACTAGTGATGGGCAATACTGCTCAGGCTGAAAACAGTTATGTACTGCCTTCTGCCTTCTTCTATGGATGTGCTACTTGCTGGAATGCCTCTTAAAATTTCTCCAATATTACTTTACAATATTTCAAGCTCACATTTGCTGGTTTTCAGATGAATCCTCTAGACTTTGTTGCATCTTTCCTAATGTACAGTAATTAAATAGAAATATTAGAGAAAGGTGTTAACTGTGCTGTCTCTTGGAGATTGTGATGTTGAGGTGTTCATATACTTTGCCCAAAAATGGATGAATGATTATGTTTTTAAATAAGTGAAAGTGTCATTGATTGTGTGATACAGAAAGAGTGGAAGTGTATGTGTGTGTGACTGTGTGTGTGTTGCTGACTCTGACCTGTCTTGTCCTTCCAGAGCTGGTAACCTCTAGCACCAGCGATAGTGAGAGTAGTTCCTGTAAGTTAGATCCTCCCCTGCCTTTCTCTCTTCCTTTCTTTCTCTCTCACTCTTCCTACCACTGCTCACTCTGCTTCTTCTTCATGTTTTACTATTGTTTCAAACCTCAGCTACTTGATGTAGCTCCTGGTTTGTGTGTGTGCGCACATGCACATGTGTTTTTGTGTGCTGTGATTGTGTTTTTATATGCATGTGAGAGACTGTGTATGTGTGTGTGTGTGTGTGTGTGTGTGTGTGTGTGTGCAGGTTACCTCTCTCTCCTTCCCCAGCCTGCTTTTCCAGAGCTTTTGAAGAGGTTTTTCCAAAAGTAGAAAGAGGAAGAGTGGTATTTGTTGTCAGTCACCCCGTCCATAGTGCCTCTAAATGTGTCCATGATTTCTCTTCTTTCAATCAGCTGGACAAGAGGAGACCTTCCTCACCTACCAGCCTGTTATGCAGCAGGAAGGTCAGCACTTATCTCTCATTTGTTAAATTTTATTCTTCTGCTGAAGCCATTCAACAAAATAAAAGTAAAATACCTCCTCTTCATCTGTAAAATAAAACTTATTAGAAATTCCTCGGATCTACAGCATTTTAATCTCTTAAATTCCACCGAGTTGGGCAAGAATTATATCAAGATGATATAGAATATATAAAAAGCTCATATGGTGTGGAATTAAATTATTCTTCAAAGACATATACAGTAACTGCCTTCACTGTTTAGTTTTGTTTTTTGGCACTTGGAGTCAGTAGAAATAAGCTATAAACACAACATTGACATTATCAAGTTCTAATGAGCTTAACATGTTAGCAGGTGAAAAGCTACTTAAACAGAAATGAAAGATAGAAACTGGATGTGAAAAAATTTAATTAGTTGCTGTTTTCATGGGTTGGTATTGCTTTACTTACTCCACCTCTGTCACTTTACAATATTATTATGTTTCTGTTTATCACTTTTAAGTTAATTACTCACGGCCAGTCATCATACTCGGACCAATGAAAGATCGGGTCAACGATGACCTTATCTCTGAGTTCCCTGACAAGTTCGGCTCCTGTGTCCCACGTGAGTGTCCTAACTCCTGTAAAGCATGCAGAAACTTTGCATATGAAGCAATCCTGACCTTAATACATATTATGAAAACTGTCAAATCATGTTTATGATGCTTTAAGAAATGCTGACACTTCAGGCCTAAATAATGTCAGGCAGATTTTTTTTATGAAATCACTTGAAGCTGAGGCTTAATTTATTTATGTTTTAGGTGAAAATAAACCTCAAAAAAGCACATATGAGAACAGCCTGCTACTGCAGCTGTATTATACTTTTATTACTTGTCACTATCCCCAGAGAGTGTGAAGCGGTGGCTTGCTTGACAGGCAGCTCGATTATTAAAAACTGTTAAAGGGGCCCTGAGGAAGACGTGAAAAGAAAGTTAAAGGTCATATTTAATCAAAGGCTACCTTACAGAGAGCAAAGACTAAATAAATCTAGAAAATATGAGTAAATCCTTAAAATGTTTTGTTTTTGTTTCTGCAAAGAATCTTCAAAGTGGTCAGATGTGACACAGAAACTGAAGCACCACTGTCTGTACTTTATCTAATCTAGTATTGTATTTTTGCAGTTTAAGTGGAATATTTAGAGCTGAGTTATGCACCAAGATGTGCACGAGTTCAGTACCAAGTTACATTTATACATTGTACTTCTTTACCTTAATCCAAGTAAAACCTCTGACCATTAGATACAACACGACCACGAAGAGAGTACGAAGTAGATGGCAGAGATTACCACTTCATGTCCTCCAGAGAGCTCATGGAACGAGAGATCCAAGAGCATAAGTTCATCGAGGCTGGACAGTACAACAACCACCTGTATGGAACCAGCATACAGTCTGTCAGAGAAGTTGCTGACAAGGTGTGACACACAGACACACATGAGGAGACAGCATAAAGGAAATTGAAGAGTAAATGGTGGGAGTGGTGGAAGTCTGTTGTCTGTCACTCTCTCTCTCTCCCTCTGACTCTGTGTCTCTCTACCAGGGTAAACACTGCATACTGGATGTATCAGGGAACGCAATAAAGCGTCTCCAGATGGCAGGCATACATCCCATTGCTATCTTCATTAGACCACGCAATGTTGACAACATCCTGTAAGTAACATAGATATTAACACCACAGAAACATATACAGCTTCCTAGTTTGGCTCTAAACAACCTCACCACGTGGTGCTTTTAGTAGCTGATAAATAAATATACAGAAGTGCAAAATTACATGTGGACAAAGTGAACGAGGCAGTGGTGTATAAAGTGGATGGAGGCAGTGCAAAATAATGTGCAGTGTGGCTGTCAGCTTATGGGCAACAGTTCAACATGGATATGGTTGAAAGCTCCAGAATAGCGTGCTAACCTGACCCTGTTGTGACATTATTTTGTCAGACGCTATTTATAAGATCAAGACTGAAAATTCAAGGGTTAACATCCTTATTGTAACATTGGAAATATCATCTAAAAACTATAATATAATCTCATTTAATCAATGTCCTGGTAGGATCACTGGCAGTAAGATAAATATTGTTGCATGAGTACAATAAACATCTAATTGACATAAACTAGCATATGTAACATGAAGGTGAAAGGCAGATACATCCCATAAAATTCTATGTAAAAATCACAACATCCTTTAAACAACATAAATTACAATGAGCATAAAGAACATGTGTGAGAAGCATTGACAAAATTCTAACAGATGACAAATACTCAGGTCATACTACAAAATGGCCTCTTATGTTGGTCTGTTCTTTCACAACTGTAAAAATGAAAACATTGTGCTGTATTGAAATCAGTCACCTTTATGTTGAAAAGTTACATTTACTACTTTTGTCAAGGTGTTATTTTATGTGCCCAGCTTTTATAGATTTATACTATATATCAGTTCAGCATGAGTCAGTTGGAATACTTCACAAATCTAAATCCAGTAAAATCCCCCAACAGTCATGTAATAACACAAGAGATTTGTTTTAGGTAAAGCTACACTCAAAGCTATATTCTGCTAAACTTGCAGTTCAACTGTAATAAAGGTTAAATATCATCTTGTCATTTCACAACTGCTGAACTTCACAGTGTGGTCAGTCAAGTTATTGAAAGCTTAATGTAAAAGATGCTTTCTTGGTCTCATTCACACCTCTGGTCTGTCTCTGCAGAGAGATGAGCAAGCGTTTCACTGAGGAGCAGGCGAGGAAGACCTACGACAGAGCTGTCAAACTGGAGCAAGACTTCACAGAGTACTTCACTGGTCAGTTACCAGATGCAAAGTAGAAGTATCCCAGCACAGCTCTAATGTAAACACAAGCAGCAGCAGTAATAAATAAAACACAAAAGTTTAAATCATATCATTATAGTTTTCACTATGTCATGATATTGCAGATGCAAAAGAACATTGAAAATATTTCCACTTTTGTTCAAAGCAGCAAAATATTTTACTCCTGTATGTTATATCAGGCTAAACTCTTCATTATTTAGACAAGACCTTTGTGGAACAATAACACTGACATTGTCATAATATTATTTGGCTGAAAATCAGTACAACAATAAAAAAAAGCCCAGGTATATAGTACAGGACAAAACATTAGTGCATATTTTATGTAATAGCAAAGCAACATACATGTGTTTGATACATAATATAGAGGGAACACAAGGAAGCAGACAAACAAAGTGCTGAAATTTGCAGGCCATCGTGACCAGAACCACCCCAAATATATGTATAGCCATCTGAGAGTTAGTCACACAAGAGCAGTCTTGACTCAGAATTTTCACACATGCTGTAGGAGGCCTGTGCTCTGCTGTGTGTTCAGTAAAGCACATGCATAAACACACTTTTTCTTTTAATGGAGATTTTGATTATAGTTTTTTTTCCCCAGAGATTCCAGGTAAGATGTTTTGGTAAATGTTCTTTGGCAAATCTTGTGGTCATTAATTTGTCTCTGTCTGTCTCGCTGCAGCTATTGTCCAGGGCTCGTCTCTAGAGGAAGTACATTCACAAGTGAAGCAGATCATTGAGGAGCAGTCTGGTCCTTACATCTGGATACCCACCAAGGAGCGACTCTGAATAAACATGCTATGTATTCACATATAGATCACTATTTCAACACTTCCTACTTCCCTGATTTTCTATTATCAGCCTGCTTCCTCTCTCTCTATCTCACATACACATCACTACACAAACACATTTACACAAGCACATAGTGTCAGACGAGGCTGGGACTATCTGGGACTGCTACCTCCTGAACTGGGAGGAGCTCATGTCTGTCCAGCAGCCTATTGATGGATCTTCCTACAGCTCAGTTCCTTAATGTTTAAGGAGGTGGTTCAACTCAAGGCAAAACGTACATTACCTGATTTTATTTCATTACTGTTCTTCTTATTGTTGTTGTCACTGTTGTTTTCATATGAATGAAGGGTAATGCATTTATGTATGGGTTTGTAATGATAATATTGTCACAAAGAGACAGACTTTTGCACGCTGTAGCTTTAAGAGCATGTTTTTGGGACAAAATCTTGTTCTCCTTCCCTGACTGTCTGTCTTTCCTCATGGCATTGCTCATTTTTAGAGTTGTTTTTCTCATGCCCCACCCCTCCTTTTTTTCTCACCCTCTTTAAGCTGTCTACAGTCTTTAGATATGAAGTGAAAACTTTCTAATGTGCCCTTTTCTTTTGGTATCAAGAGCCAAACTATAGTGCAATTACTGCTTAGAACTGTAGCAAGAAAATTATTATAAGCAATTTAGGATTTCTATGAGTGAGATTTGTTAATATTTCTTGTAACAATCAAAACTTAAATAGAAAACTAATTACAGTGCAATATAATAAACAAAGTGTAGTGTTTTGCCTCACCATTTTGTTGGTGGTGAGGCAAAAGCAAACATTAGCCTCATTATGATGATTTGGAGTCCTGAGCCCATATTTATCAAATTTCTGAGTTTTATATTTCACAGCTATTTCTGGAGCATAACTGTTAACTGTTAACAGTGAAGGTTAGGGCATATTTAAAATGTAGGAGCAGCCCTCTTGTGATCAGTGATCAATCACATGCATGCTCATACATAAAGAGCCAATAAGAGACAAGAACTACACTTCTACACAGTGCAGTATCATTTTAATTATTAGGGTATATGGTTTTAGCAGTTACTATACAAAAAATACCAACATACTTTATTGTTAAGGGTGTGATGAGATCTTGTACAACAAGACAAGATCTTACAATACTTCTCGTTGAGGCAAAAGCTGTTTCACGATATCAGTGGATAACAGAAGCAGAGCAGCAGCCAGTATGATGGAGTGTGATGGCAAAGTGCCGGCGCATTCACATTCTGGCAAAAACGCAACGCTGTGTTTCAACGCACAGGGCTGTGTTGGTCAGGGGTTGAGGGGTTGCAGGGGGAGTGTTGTAGGTGTGATACAACCTTGTTGTGATGAGTCAGTGTGAGTGGCTTCATTCATGTTTACAGAAAAAAATTCTGCTGCCAGTAGGGGAGACACATCAGAGGAATCATCATGGAAGATGATTACAAGCAAAATCAATGCAGTTTTGTTCTTGTTTTGTTATAGACCCCTGTCAAAGAAAGACAAATGCAGTTTTGTTCTTGTTTTGTTATACACCCCTGTCAAAGAAAGACAAATAAGTACTGTAACCCTTTATTACATATTCAATGATAAACTAGAACCTCCCTGATTTACTCATTTTGTCTGAGGTAACATATTAGTTTTAAAAACCAATAATATTTTGTTAAATAACTCCAGAATGTCTCAAAAGGTGCTTACTTGCAATTTATCCTGCAACCATCTTGGATCAAAAAGTACAAAATTTTACTCTGACTTCTTTGATAAACATGGGCCCAGGTCCTCCATTTATGAAACTTGGGTATTCATCTCACCAGGGCTTCTCTGCACCCCCCAACACCCCCACTATCTTCTTCTTCCTCCTCTCTGTCTTATACCTTCATCTGTCTCCTCCTCTCCCTCTCCGCCCTCAGTGTGACATCAGTCGAGAACTCCCGACAATTAACAGTGTATCATCTTCTTGATCAACATTATCGCCACAGTCATAATCCTCAGCACCATCGTTATAGCTTTCCTTCTTACTGTGGCTGCACTAATGAGGGCTGGTTACTGAAAAGCATCTAAGCATGACAGAGCTGACAGTGTCCCAGTTAACATGTGATACACTCACTTCTTTCAGCTCTGCATGATTACTATGCTGGTTTGAAAGCACTAAAGAGGTCAGCAAACACTTTTTGGTAAAAGGGGTTTTCCGTTATCATATTTGTCATGTGTCATGCTGTTAAAGACATCAGGTGAAAGCTACTGTCAGGACTAACTCATCTTCTGTATTAACTCTAGAGGTAACTGGTTGTCTTTCATGCTGGATTTATAACCTTAAACCTTCAGTCCCAGCATGCATAAAAGACACCTGAAAGTAGTCCCATCTGTGACCTCAGCGCTCTATGCTACTCCCTGAATTGGTCAAATAGCATTCCCTATATAAACTCAAACAAAATGTCATCAATTGGCAATCGATGTAAACCCAACTTTAGTTTGTTTACAGGAGAGCTCCATGGGGCATCTTTAACATACATTCCAGCAAAGAAGAAAAGTGTAGCATCAGTCTGTGGAAATATCGGATTTAAACATTGGCTCCTTGTGAAATGTTTTGGGGGGTCAAAGAGTGCACATCTGTGAGATCACAAAACTACCTTTGAAGATGCTACCCTCTGCCCGTGTGCTGGACAGGTAAAAGAATCATGATTTAGCAGTGTTTTCCTCAGGAGTTGATTGAGACCAATTACAGAGCTAAAAGAGGGTGAAGTCACAAAGGGGGCTAACCTGAAACAAAAGACAATAACCTCTGTTGTCAAGTGTGATATTTGACGTACCAAGATGCTTTTGGTGACACAGCCCGTGTACTGACCTCGTCAGCCACCCACTTCCCACCTCAACCCTGAGACGACTCTTCCAAGCTGACTGGAGACCAGAGACACACAGAGAGGTGTTTCTGTCAACAGAGTAGCTCTTAAACTCAAATAATAAATAGCTGTGGCCACATGTGTTTTGAAAGCTTTAATATCTCCTGGAACAAAATTTCATATATGATCCCTGATGAATCCAGTAGTTCAGTGGTGTTTGTCTGTGGACTGACTCAGACTCTCTGTATGACTCTGGCTGTGTGTTGTAGTCATACCACTGTCTGTTACAGTAAAGCACTGATGCAAAGAATCTATTACAGAGATGGATCTATATCTAACATATTCTAGTATTTATCCCTGCTCTAACTGCCTATTTTGGTACAAAAAATAAATAAAAATCTTTACTGAGATTTATTGAAATCTTTCCACCAATGGCCATGTTTTTTTTTGTTGTTGTTGTTTGTTTTGCATTGTGGAATATGTATGAATGTGAATAAGATATTTTAGCTATTTTACAGAAATTCTTGTGTTTTATTTTTGAATTTTTATGTTAGATCTCGGAGTCAGTAATCAGAACAACGGATGATTAATTGCAGCCTGTGCCTCATCTAATTTAAAGGTGTCACAAGTCAGGTCCAGAGTTCACATTATCATTCAGCCCTTTAAGTAGCTATAATCCAGTAACCAGTGGTAAACATCCTGCAATAAACTACTGTCTGAACAAGCAGAGATACATTTTAGAACAAAAGAATGTTGGCAGTGTTGTCAAACTCCAGATGAAAAGAGAATAAAACACCTGATGTTCAAGTATACTGTTACTGTATATGATCTGTAAAGATGTTTTATACAAGTATATTGGTTTGCACACAGAACCTGCTGTACGTGAGGATCAGATAGTGCAGGTGTTTTTGACATTTTCATGCAAAGTAAAGTAGATTCAAATTGTTCTCACTAACTGTACCATAATGTTACTATTTTTAAGATTTGACAGCAGATTCTCAGGTCAGCTGAAGTCGGGCGCTGACTGCTCCTGCAGATGAGCGCAGCGCGAAGGGAAAATAGCACTGTCCTGACACCCCAGTTTGGTTGTCACCTCCGTGTCATCTTCACTCCGTCACATTATGGCTGTTGCAGCAGCATAAACAAAGCCTGACTCTGAAAATGACTACAAGTCCTGCAGCCAGTTTTACTGCCCCATAGCTCCTGGGTGGATAGGTGAGTGTAACATTGTTATGTACTCTGTGTTTGCCCCCATATTATGTGTTGTTTTATCAATCTATAATACAAAGTGGTACGCAGTATTGATTCTGCGTATGATACCAGGGCACACGTGACAAAGGCAACATAGATGGTTGCTTAGGACACGGAATAGAGCACAGCACAAGAGGGCTTTTTTTTAATACTAGTGTCACATACTACCTAATGCTACTGTCTGTTGAGGCAAAACGTCCCACCAGTAACAGGAACAAATTAACATCAGCCTTTCATTGGATATAATAGATATGCTGCACCCTTTAACAGAATTTTCAAGTGTATGGGGGGCATTGTACCATTTTAATAACTGAACGTCTTTTTCACTATGATGTATTGATGTTGTTTCCTGTTTCTTTACATGCCAACATATCACCATAAAAACGATATATTCACACCATTAGAAGCATCTTTTTTCTAGAAGACATTTAAAAAAAAATCTATGCCTCTGGTTAATATAAAAATTACATATCATTTGTACAGTACATAACATTACCTTTATTTTCTTCAAAAATGTTTTTTGCCCTTTGGTAATGCAAAATTTACAAAAAAGAATATTAACAAAACCTAGAGTTATATTAACAAGAGAAAGAATGTGTCACATTAGCAGTAACCAGTGTTCTACTGGACTGAAAATATTAACAAGAGAAAGAAATATCAGCCTGCTGATGGCAAGTTAGCCAAAAATGTTGTGTGACATGTTTAAATTTAGATGAACTTGCATTGACTTTTGCACCGATCTACACCTCGTTGTTTGCATTCTCAAAAGAAACAAATGTAATATCAGTTTGTACCATCAAACTGAAGATTCTGAGTCCCACAGGTTTGACTGAACAGATTAAAGAATTTGTTTGTTTCTCAGTCTGTCTAACTGTTGCATCAAAGTTTGGGTTCTTAGTAGGCCTCCGTGTACTTGTGTGGACTAAGAACTGAATGTGAAAATCAGCAGTTACATTGATTTTACACTGCCACTACTCTTCATAATCTCTTATGTATTGTATGCTGTGCTGTTTGTTTTGTTAAATGTTCTTTTTTTGGCATGTGTGTGAAATCCTGGGACACAAGACTAATTCCTTGAATCCAATGAAGTCAAATCATCCATGCTTATTAAGGCTTCTTGTTGACCCTGAACATGCCGGAGCAATTATAGATTTATGATGAGGCTGCCTTCCTGTGTTTCACCAAAGGTCTGCAGAAAAACTTTATGACCATAATCACAATCATCCTCATATCCTGCAACTTGCATTGTTGTTTGTAAAAGTAGTCAGAACCTTTTGCAGCTGTTTGAAGTAGCCTAAATGTACTTGTGCTACTCAGAAATACATAAAAACAAAATAAGAAAATCAGGTGTTGAGCTGTTCTATCAAATGCTTAACCTATGTTCTTTGGACTCTTATACTGTAGGCCGCATTACAGTTATTAGATTATTATTGCTGATCTATGTGTGTGTGTGTAGCATTTTCCTGTTGGAGATGTCAAGGTATATCAAATTTTTAACTATTTTATATCCTGTTTTCCTCTTTGTTACTGCATGGTAGAAAGGCTCAGTTCAGTTTCTACAACTGGAAATAGCTGATTTCATCAACCTGCTTATTCCATACAAGACAAATTCAGCTTCCAAAATTCAGAGACGAGGTCAGTTTAGTAAGGCAAGTTGGTAGACAGACTTCTTGTCTCTGCTGTTTGCCTCAGCAGCCAGAGCAGTGAGTCAGTCACCAACAGTCCCACTGTGTTGGACTGAATCCCTTTCTTTTTTACCCATGAGTGGAAAAACACCACAGTAGTAATGCAGGGGAGTGAAAGGAAAGCAGAGGTGGGGTCCTGCCTGTAATAAAAGACCTCTCTATCCAGATATTGGCCTGCAGCCATGCTGAGACGTGTGAGACCAGGTACACCAGAGAGGCATGCTTCATAAACTCTACACTGAGCTGCTGAGAGTCTCATGTTCTGGAGTGAATGATTTTGTAGAGGACTGAGATGTAATAAATGTAAATACAGAATCTGCTGAGCTTAAGCTGTGTCTCAAAGGTAGAAATTGGACTTTGACTCAGGAGTCATCATATAAGAAGGAGGCAACGGGAAAGGCAGCTACCACAGAAAGGAAGAGAGCACGAAGCCATGACTATGTGGAGGATTGTGGGAGCTCTACTACTAATACTAAATACTGGTAAGAACTGTTTTATTATACCTAATTACACAGAATCGTAGCGATTTTATGTTTGAATATTGCCTAAAGCAAGGCAGCATAAAAAAAGAAATGATTAAACATAAATTTTGAAAAAAAAAATATAAGTCATGACTTTAAAGTGGTGGTACAATGCGCACACAGTTCAGAATAAAAGAACGGGTGCACTGCAAATCTGAAATTGCCAATTTAACACCCTTAGAGCTAAAATGACTAAGTACAATCAATGTAAAGAATACATTAATGTTACTGCCAAATGTATCTAGTACCCACAGTACTGTATTTTGACCTGGTTATCTCAGTTTGATACCCAACATTATTGCATATGTGCAATAGGCCCCTAATAGACAAAAACAGAACCTGTAAATTCCTGTAGATCCTATTCATCAGACATTTTCTCCTTGGCTCATCACATCTTGTCACAGGTTGCAGATGAATAACAAGCAGGGTCAACCAAAAACTTCCCTTCTCTTTTTGTTTAATTGAGGGACAGGTCTGAATTATTTCATAAAAACAGTAAAATGTGAAACACTGGAAAACATATTTAAAATATAAATCAGCTTTTCCTGTGTTGTTATTGATCCTGTGATTCCCTCACATTTATCTTGTTCTTTTGAGGACTCCTAGGTTGGGAAGTGCTGTACTGAGACAGAAACACAATTTAAAAGGCAAACTATGGCCATAGTTTCTAAATATGTGAAAAGATATGATGTGTTTATGAATCATTTGTTGTAATAATTTAATGATGTGTCTCTCTGCTGCAGTGTCTGGCCAGAGCAGTATCAGATGGTGCACCATCTCAGACCCAGAGCAGAGGAAATGTCAGGCCATGTCTCAGTCTTTCTCTGAGGTCTCCATCCGTCCGTCACTCAGCTGTGTCAAGGGAGTGACAGTCGAGGGCTGCATCCAGAAACTGCAGGTAGACTGAACAAACCTGAACAACTTGCAATTATAGTTATCTCACATTGTAAAGTAACTGGATGGTAGGGGACTTGTTAAAAGCTAATAAAATGCTCTGAGTGCCAAAACTATCAGACATCAGATTATTTGTTAAGAGATAATCTTATCAGGGAGCACAGTACAAACTGTTTATGACAACCACAACCTGGGACATTCCTGATCTATGAACTGGATGCCCTAGTTAGAAGCTGAATAAAACACATGCATGAATGCATTTTTTAAGGGTGCATTAACAATGGCTCAACACATGTGCTGATAAAGCCCTTCTGTTGTTGCTCCAGCTTTTCTAAAGTGTGTTGTCAAAGTATACTTCATAAATTAGCCCTGCCTGCCACCAAGCAAAGGGTATAAGAAGCTTTTGCAAGTAATCATTTAGTCAGCTAAAAGATAAAAGAAAGAGCAAAAAAAACAACAGTTTGGCTTTTTGAGATGGAGATGGTTAAAAGCAGCCAGAGGACTCAGGATTAATTCAGATGTGTTAGCACCTAAAGCTAACATGTTTGTTTTGGTAATATTAGCAACATAGCATGATCATGATTATACCTTTGATTTCAGTTAATATGATTTTAATTTGGGAGTCCTCTGAGTTTTACGTCACATTAGCATTAACCAGAGTGTTCTACTGGACTGACAAATTTGTTCCTTAGTAAGCTAACACTAGCATCAGGCTGGAGGGTGCATCATGGACAACTTGTCATAGCCAGGTATGTGTAGTTTATGTTGTCGCTAGGAAACAAGACATGATGGGAGGAGCAAAGAGAGGTTATGAGGTATATGGTGGGTCAGTTTGTTTTGAGTCTTTTTTGAGTCTTGTTGAAAATTTAGGAAGTCCTAAATTTTACCATCTAGGTTACAAAAATATTTGAGATGTTTAAAAAGCTGTACAGGTTTCCTCCTGAGAGCATGTCTAATCTAGTGTTGGCTGACTTATTTTAAGAGAACAGCCTATGGTTGTTAGTTTAGAGCTTTCTCTCTGAATTTTGTAAAGGTACTTAATGATATTGTAAAATGAGGTGAATGAAGAAGGAAGCCAAAGACAGAATTTACCTTTTAGTTGACTTTATTTATTATGAACACACACAGCTATTTGCATACAGGATAAAGCCCATAAACCCCATCAGACCCCTCAGTCATGGTGCTCTACCCCAGCTGACTGGTCCTGCCAGCTGCCACCATAATAGAACTTGAACATAACAGTAACTCATAGCCTCTGCCCCATTAGGGCATGCCTGGGGGACCCCACAAAGCATTGCTCCACCCCAGCACTATATTACAAATTAATTATTTATTTGTAAAAGTTTTTTTTTTTTTTTTTTTTTTTACATAAGGACATGTGAAATGTGTGAAACATCATTAATCTTTACTGTGTCTCTGCAGAGAAAAGAAGTTGATGCCTTGTCCATGTTTGCCACTGATATCTACAACCTAGGGAAGGCTGCTTCCTTTAAGATGGCCGCCAGTGAATCAAAGGCTGACGGTAAGATTGAACAATTGCTAGAAATTTCTAATTTGGTACAAATCTAATTGGTGCAGGAGGGATTAAAAGTGGGATTGTTTCAAATATTTGACAAATGTTGGGGAGTGGATCACCAATAGTGAAGAAGTAACACAGGAGAAATAATGACAGGTTACCAAAACCACTTTTCTGCTTGCAGATTAGCATACTGTCCACTTTCAACAGCAAGTGGCAAAATATCAGGTCTCACCTGGGCACAAAGAATTATATTCTTTTTAGATACATGTAAATTATATACAACATAATTCACAGTATCATATTCTTTTTTGACATCATAAATGTACTACTAGTAGTAGTATTTAATTGAGTTTTCTTAATGTTTGAAACGTAATGTTCAAGACCACACAATATGATGACAATAAAATGTATTTATGATAATCTACTCTTAAAGAATGAATGTATTCCAAACTCATGACTGACTTTTACCATCTTGTTACAAACTATCAAGTTTCATTTTTAGGATTCTTATCTTCTGGCCTTTACTAGTGTCTGAGACCAGACTAAGTCATCATTGTCACAAAAATTGCTGTTGTTTTCCCATTTTTATTTTCTAGTCTTCCTTATGTTGATGAATGGTGAATATACAGAATATTTTTGATGACATGTAATCTTGAGTTCATCTTGGTGCTTATGACAAATATGCAGTGAGTTAGTGTAATCATATTCTGAGTTATGACACCTGTTACCCTGGTTATAATATCTGTGTTGCATGTGGGTAATTTCAAAACAGGACTGGTAGGCAAGCTTTGATGTAGATCTTATTTCTGTTCCCCGATACAAGGGTGCAGAGCCAACATGTCAAACTGTGTAACTACTCTGTGTTACACTGTTACATGTATGTTTATACCTGTGCTGTTGGTGCCTCAGGTACTGGTGCCTCCTACTATGCAGTTGCTGTGGTTAAGAAATCGAAACCTGGCATCAACATCAACAACCTTGCAGGAAAAAAGAGCTGCCACACTGGGAAAAACCGAACAGCTGGCTGGAATATGCCTTTGGGATTTCTCATAGACCAGGGTTACATGTCTGTGATGGGCTGCAATATCCCACAGGGTACGAAACATGCACAAATACACATATGCATAAACATAAACGGTATGTACAAAAAGCTGGAACAATGCAAGTGTGTGTGTGTGTGTGTGTGTGTGTGTACATGTCTTTATCACATTGTGTGAACCAGTTTCTTTTTTTTTTGATACCATCATTGTGTGGACATTATAGCCAGTTCACACAACTTTAAAAGATTGAGGGTTAAGAGTCGGTCTTGTGGTTAAGGTTAGGGTTTGCTTAGGTTAGGTGTAAGGTGTTAGGCAGTTAGTGGTTATTGTTAAGTCTCCAAATAATGTGTGTGATTAGGTGTTGCAAATTTCTTCAATGCGAGCTGTATCCCCGGAGCAAATGAGGCTGGGGACCCTGCATCTCTGTGTCAACTTTGCAGAGGAGATGCCTACGGACAGCACAAATGTGCAATGGACATCCAAGAGACATACTTCGGCTATCACGGTGCTTTCAGGTAACATACTTTCATACCCTACATTTAAACCCATGCACATAAAGGTGACTGTTATGCAGAATTGCATGTGTGAAGTAAATGCCATTTTTGTTCACTCCAAGTCTGGTGTAGATGTATTCCTTTCCTCTAGCATGACTAGTATTAGTACAGTTTTTCAATATGACTATTTATTTAGATCTCTTCTATAGCAGTCACAGTCTGCAGAATATCAATCTAAGGAATTAGAACAGTTAATTATTAATTTCATCTAAACGAATATGCATAAAACACTTGAATTGAATTCCATTTGCTTATTATATGTAAATTATCTATAATTATCTATAAATAAAAAAGCAATCTTGAGAATGTTGTAGGTTAACACTGAAAATTGCATGTTGTGGCTGGAGTAGGACTTGGCCCTGGTACTAGAAAATTTGAGAGTTTCATTGCTAAGATAAAAAATATTTAGGCCTATCCTAATATCTATGAACCAGTAAAATTTACTGAGCATTTGAGCTAAATACTAACACTAAAATGGCAACATTCTGACAATGCAATGTTGTAATATTAACCATGTTCACTATGTTAGTTATGCACATTAGCATGCTAGAATTTTTTTTGCCAGTTTTTTTCTTAAACTGGATTTGAGGAACAATAACACTTTCAAAGCAACTGGTGTGAAATTCTGCAAGCAGCTTTGATCTTGGTTTTTCCTATTTTTTGCTTTGGTCTCTGCAGGTGTCTGGTTGACGATGCAGGAGATGTGGCTTTCATCAAACACACGACTGTGGAGGAGAACACTAATGGTAACATCTTAGTTTGTTATGAGTAGATAGTAATTACTTGGTTATTACAGTAACTACAGCCACTTTGTCATTGTTCACTTGTCAACATGTTTGTTAACTGACCAGTTATGTTTTTCACCTGGTCGTGAAGCACCGACGTCATTGGAATATGACCTGTTGTGTCGTGATGGCAGCAGAGCTCCTGTCTCTCAGTGGAAAAGATGCAACCTGGGCCGTATCCCATTTCGTGGCATTGTGGTTGGCGATCACATCACTCCTTCTGTGGTGTTTAACATGCTGAATGAGGGGCTGGTACGTCCAAACAACTCACATACTCCACACTACAACACCCACAAGTGCTGTTGTTTGTGGTTGGTCCAAACAAATCTTGAGGTAGTTTGCTTAAAGTTACAGGAAATTTGATTCAGAGTCATGTTTTTGAACCAGAAAAGATTCACGCACACACAAAAACAACAATAACAACAGAGAAACAATCACAGCAGTTGGTGATATTTCTAAGTTTTGATGATAAGACAACATATGTAATTAATACCAGTTAAGCTTCAAATTCATGCTTTTTTTGAGTGCTTTAATCAGTTCTCAGCAAAACACTTAGGCAAACAGGAGTGGGTTCTGTTTCACTCCAAAAAATAACTCTACAATCCTTACTACTACCATGCGGACTTATTACACCTAGGTGACCTATTTAATAATCTTCTACCCCTACCAGCCAAAATGTCAGCCTAATAATAATAACAACACAACATGGCTTATTGTCCCATCCCTAAGACCCATCTTGTGATATTGTTGGATTTATCTCCAGATGTAAAAGGTATCAAAGACACAGTGAGGCGCTCAGACTTGGGATTTCATTTCTGAGGTTAATTAAGGGTAACTTCCTGTCTGCAGGAGAAATCAGGCTTCAACATATTTTCATCTACGGATTATGGAGGAGGAACTGTGCTCTTCTCTGAGTTATCCACCACGTTTCTCAGTGTCGAGTCAGATGACCCAGAGAGGTGGATGGGTCGCCTCTATTACAACGCTCTCAGTGCCATGGACTGTAAAACAGAAGGTAAATCATACCTGTTTGCCTATCTGGCATATACAACATCACACCAGAGCATAATGTTAAATTCAATATCCCAGGTGTCCTGCGGTGGTGTGTGTTGTCCAGCGGCGAGCAGCAGAAGTGTGCTGACATGGGTGTGGCCTTCCTAAGTAAGGGTCTGACGCCAGACATCAAATGTGTTTATGGGAACTCTCTGACCGACTGTATGAAGAAAATCAAGGTAATAGATGTTTCTTACAGCTGCATTGTTGAAATGTATTCAGTTTTGGCAATTTAATCCCTGTTCTTCTGTTTCACGTTTGTGTAGAACAACGAGGCCGATGCCATCACTCTGGACGGAGGTTACATCTACACAGCAGGCAAAGACTACGGCTTGGTCCCTGCCACTGGCGAGAGCTACACAGGTAAAAACGCAAACAAAGATGCAGCCACATAATTTGGTTTCAGAGATGACAAATACAGGCATGTTTTTTCCCCCTCTTTCCAGAGGACCCTGATGGTTCCATATACTATGCTGTCGCGGTGGTGAAAAAGAGTAGCTTTGACATACGCAACCTTGATGACCTGCGCGGTCATCGCTCCTGTCACACCGGATACGGTCGCACGGCTGGTTGGAACATTCCCGTAGCAACGCTGATGGAGAGAGGCCTGATCACCCTTCAGCAATGTCAGATACCCCAAGGTCAGTGGGATGTTGGTGTGTGAGCTGGGCAAGTCACTTCAGCTCACTTCATGTGAAGAAATCTTTGAGCAAACACTGAACATTGCAAGCGTTTCTACTGTAGGTTTTTAGTTCTTCATGTTTTTGGGGTTGTACATCCATCTGCTAATCTATCCGTCCGTCCAGCCCATTCTCATGCGCATGAGAACTCTGAAACGCCTTGAGGGAATTTGTTCAAATTTGGCACAAACATTCTTTTGGATTAATGGATGAACTGATTAAATTCTGATCGTCAAAGGTCAAGATTAGTGTATCCTGACATCTATCCCTTTCCCATGAATTTGGCTGGTTGGTGGAGGCATACAACCACAAGCCAGTAATTCTAGTTTGGGATAAAACAAATGTATTAGTTTGCTGTTTACTTTTTTCTACTAATGATTAAGTTAATAGAATGTGCTAAAGTTGCAAAAAAGGGCTAAAATTTCCAAGGTTAAATCTTCAGTCTTCAGGGGCGCTACTTTGTGGTAGTGATGGTCTAAAAGTTAAAGAAACAAGCCTGTGACCTGAAGGCCACCAGCAAGATTTGGTGGTTGTACCGAGTAGTTTCCAGGTGTGTGAACATGATCAGGGAGTTCCTAACTAAGAGAGGTGACCTCTCAGTGGCTGATTTAAAGATTAAGAATAAAATTCAGCTGTGACAAGCTAAGTAGTATTTCTCATGACAAGTGAACTGACTGCTTGTTGTGTAAAATCAGCAGAGTGACTCTTAAGGTATTTCTAGTACAAATTATAAAACCTGAACTTTCCTTCCAGTTTTTGACTTTCTGTTTCCTGTCCTTCCCACAATGCTTAGCGATGGGAGAGTTCTTCGATCAAAGCTGTGTACCAGGTGCCAACCAGCCTGGTTTCCCCAGTAGCCTGTGTGGTTTGTGTGTGGGAGACAGATTGGGGAAGAACATCTGTGAGAAGGGAAAAGACCTGTATGATGGATACGACGGTGCCTTCAGGTACTACGCCCTGGAACGTCACAAAACCCCTGTCCCTCATTCTGTATTTATATTAAATTTTTTTTTTTAAATGATATCCTCCTATTTATACCGCTTATCCTAACGAGGGTCACGGGGGGCTGACATTGGACGAGAGGCAGGGTACGCACTGAACAGGTCACCAGTCTATCATATGGCTGGCTCTTAGAGACAGACAACCACACACACCCACACTCACTCCTACAGGCAATTTAGAGTCACCGGTCAACCTAAGCTGCATGTCTTTGGACAGTGAGAGGAAGCCAGAGCACCTGGAGAGAACCCACACAGGCACAGGGAGAACATGCAGAGTCTGCACAGAGAGGCACTGGGTCGGCTAGGACTTGAACCTACACCCTTCTTGCTAACCACTGCTCCCACATGCCACCTATCCTCAATAACATTTAACACAGAACCAGGGACTCTCATGGATAATGTCACAGTTTTGTATGTTTATCTTATGTCCAGCCATTTTAAGTAATTCAACTTTGTGAAATTTGGCTTTGTCCATCAACAGCCATTATAATGGAAGAGAAGCCATTCAGAGGTGTGAATCAAAGTGGTAGCAAATTGAAAATGCTTCTTCACTGAACTTTGGGAAAACACAGATTCATCCTAACCAAAGTAAACTGATTTGTACTTGTTTTACATTTTCCTTAACAGTGTAAGCTTGAACTTTCATCTGTTAATTTCCTGACTGAAGTTATTATGTACACACGATTCTCTTTTCATCAACCATATGTTTTTTAGCATGGTTGTCCCTGGTTATGTACCTTTGTCTATGGGAACAATGAATCAAACTTTTATTTCTGGAGCAAGGGGTGCCTTAAATAGTTCATTTGACTCTCCAGTAGAAAGGTACTTGAACTTATGCCACGTAGCACATACAGTATGTCTGTCTATCTGTCCACTTAGGTGTCTGGCAAGTGGAGCTGGAGATGTGGCTTTTGTCAAGCATTCTACTGTCTTCCTAAACACTGATGGTAACACAAGTAGCTGCAAGATACAACATGTACTCTTTTGGGGGGTTTCTTATTTCAAAGAGATATGAGTAACTGGCTCACTTTGTGTATTTATGCAGGTAACTCAGGTGAATCATGGGCAGTAGACCTCCACTCTACAGATTTCCAGCTGCTCTGTTCTCAGGGCACCAAGGCCGAGGTCACGCAGTACAGACACTGTAACCTGGCTAGAGTCCCTTCTCATGCTGTAATGGTACGACCAGACACCAACATCCATGCTGTCTATGGACTCCTGGATCGCGCACAGGTATCAGTGTTTCTACTGTACTTAGTGTATATACTGTTCTTGAGTTACTGAGTCAAGCTGTCGTGCAGTAGTGCAGCTACAACCATTTTCAAAATTGTTCAGGGTGGGTGGCTGCAGTAGGACAACAGAGCGCCAGAATACCTGGCATCAGCAGACCACCACCCTCTTAAAGACATGAAATGGAATAAATGTAAGTCATCACAGTCCTCTGGAAATGTATCATGTCTGGTTTATAACAATGGCACAAGGTACATGCTACATTTAATTACATGTCTTCAATCACAAGTGAGTGAAAATAGCCCATGTATCTGAGAACACACTATCAAGGAGTGTGTGGAGGAAACATAACTTTGACCAGTAAAGAAGGACAGAAATAAAGGTGATGAAATGTTCACTGGGATGGATTAACAGCCTCATGTCTCTCTGAGTTTGTGTTCATTCTACAGTGAGGTAGGTGAATGGAAATCAATGGCTAACTGGAATGGAGGAAATCAATTTTATTAGCTAGCTTTGGTGTTTATTTAATTTTGTTTCCCTATCTGTCTGTTTGTTTTCCTGTAGACATATTTTGGCAGTGATACAGGTCCTGGTTTCAAGATGTTTGACTCACAGGCCTACAATGGCACAGATCTCATCTTCAAAGACTCCACCGTTCGGCTTGTGGGTGTCGGTGACAGAAAGACCTACCAGGAGTGGCTGGGACAGAGCTACATGGACTCACTGGTCGATATGGACTGCAAATCATCGTCAAGTGCAGGTAAAGACAAACTAAACTGCATTCCTCATGAATCAATGCCAGTCCTTCGGTTTCTAATATATCTGCTACCGCTGTGGCAGTGTGGCACAAGTAAACTTAAAGTTGTGAAATGTGTTTGTTTTTTTAAACCTTGTTTCATCAAAATCCAGCCTGGGGTGTACCAGATATTACATACCAGATGATATCATTTTAAAAAATGGATGAAAGCACCCCCTAGGGGCTTATCCGTATAATTGTGAGTGCAGCAGTGAGATGAATCATTCTCCTACATTTTCCCAAATTCAATGATGGGCTGATTGATTCAGGAATAAAAGAAGATGAATCCATAAATAAGGACACTGTAAGATACACTTTTGAGAAGCTGATACCAATTTTCATTGGATAAAATGACCACTTTGTCTCAGAGCAAACTTTCTGATGACTTCTTGTGTTCTCTCCTTCTTATAGTGATGTCCTCTGTCTGGCTGCTGCTAACGGCCCTGTTGAGCTTCATGCTGACCAACCTCTAAATGTAAAAGCACAGTATGACACAGGCATTCAGTCTTCTCCTGTTCCTTTCCCTCCTTCATTTTTCTCTTTATATATTTCCTGTATCATTCTCTTCCTTTATATTTCGGTCTCTGTCACCTTATCTTTCACCACTTTCCAAACATGAACCTTCAGATTTCAATTCAAATCATCCAGTCCAGCCCTGTAAGTTAGTCCTGCTTAGACACCCACTGTTTCCATCTCTGAATGTTTCTTTTTTGTTTGTTTGTAAAATTGCATCTATCATTTCTACCTGATTGTATAAAATATGAGATTTGGGCATTTTCAGTTGCCTTTGGACTGTTGAAGAAAGTGAGGAACTTGTTTTCTGTGATGTGAGTTTGTTGCCAAAGGACTTTCAGCCAGTGTGAGTCAGACATGATCAGAGGTGCTGCTGCCACTTTGGTTACTGAAGGTGAGCTGCCACATCAGTGCATGTGCTGCCACCTGTTACATTGCTTTAGTTGGGCAGTGCCTCTCTTGGATTGGATTATCTCACATGAGCCACTGATAATTACGCCTCAAGTAACATGTAACCTCATGTAACAATAATCTTGGGTAAAGTCCACCTTACTCCTCTCACTTAACAGCTGCAGTTATTTTTTTCTTAAAGGGCCAGTTCACCTCACCTCATCATCATTTTTCAAACCTTTTTAACAGTTCAGTTTATACATTTAGACACAGATGGAGTGAGTAACCATGACCCAATGTCAGGTTCCATCAGATTCGAGTAGAACATGAAGAAAACATCCCGTGGTGTGTTTTTGTTTGTCTCGATGGTTTAAGTCAAAGAATAGTGTGTGTCACTTGATGGAAGACAACACGCTTTAAAGTACTGGTTTCACTGTAAAAAGGGTTTTTTTAAGTGTACAACAAAATAATACAGTTCAAAGATGATTACTGGTAATACTTCACCATTCTAAAAAAAAAAAAACTGCTCGTGTCCTCTGACCCCAAACTGTCTTTTCTTTATAACTCAAACGGCTTGATGCTGTTTCCTGTTTTGATGTTGATAAGTGGATTTGTCTTTTCCTGTGTTGAGAGATTTATTTTTATATGATGTTCAGGTGCCATATCAGTGTATATGTACTGACTCATGCTGTCAGAAACAAATAATTTCTCAGCCTCGTGATAGAGATTGATTTCTATGTGAAATTATGTAACATGTAACTAATATTTAGTTGCCAGGCCAGTGCGTCTGCATAAGTATAGCTACATAAAGCTGCCCACTTGAACTGTTGTTGAAATTAAATAAAGCTATATGCTGCAAAATACACTCTCATGTTCAGAATGCACTTCTATGATATAATGTTTTGTTTGAAAGCAAAGGAACTACCGAGTTATAACTGGGAAACTGAACTGTGACCTGCACACTGGAGATTTGTCTCTGATTTTCTTAAAGGGCCCCTTCAGACATATTTTATGACAATTAAAACTACTCTGCTTTGATTAATAATCTAATTTTGACAAACTAACCTTTGAAAATGATGCCAGTGTGTTTTCTAAGTTGTTATGTCAAACATTCAAAGTGCTGTTATAAGTTCGAATCTTTATTTATACAATCAGAGCAAAATGGTGAATTTACTCTCAGCTCTCTGTACAAACATACTGGCTGATAAAAGGTTTTCCACTAACAACATAACTTACAGACCCACAGAAGCTCACATAATTAGTGTACTGGTTTAGTTGGTGCATGTGTGCACAGTGGTGGAGGGACAGCATCATTACAACCACCTTTTGTTGATGCCCTCTTTGCACTAAAAAACCTTATGTTTCGGTATATGAACTACATCCCCCTTCTGTGAAGTGCACTTAAACTTTTCCAAAAATCTATTCATATTTTTTTCATGACAGTTTTGGCTATTCTACAAAGCTGTCTGTAAGAGGCTATCAACACACAGTCATTGTCCAACAGGAAGTTGGGTGAGGGCAAAAGAAAAAAATCGAGGATCTGTCAGGCTGGGACCGGCAATGAAAGTTCTGTTATCAGTAGATCCCCACTCTGCTCTCATTACTTCTTGATTTGTCTGGAACCGTCCTTCCATCCCTCCTTCACTTCATTCACAAACGTCTTTCGGACTTTCCTCAGGCGGCTGCCCATCTCTCCCAGGTCACCTGGGATTTTGCCGGCCTCCTCACGGACCTGCCGCAGCGTCTGGGACCGCATGACCCGCTCCGAGGCGTCCCGACCGGCTAACTGAGCCTTGGTGATGGCGTAAGCTGTGATCTGGGCCGCCCTACGGATCGGACGAGACTCAGCCAACTTCTCTACGACGTGGAGCTTGTTGAGGAGGGAAAATAACATCCGAGACAGCATTTTGTCGAGTCTTTGACACAGGCTGGTGTCCTTGTCCTGTCTAACACGTTAGCTTAGCCGGCTAATTAGCGGTCCCGTCCAGCTGTCGTTCACATTAGCCCTGTAATGAGACCAATGTTTACCGGTATCTTATACGATCATGTAGCTTGAGGTTGTAGTATAGCGTTATATGTCAATAACCAGACATATAAAGTAGACTTACTTCGGCTGAACCAGATGACCACTGAGTCACAACGGATGACAAAACGCTGGCGTTGATCTCAAATTCGTAGTGGGAAAACTTCAGCAAGTTTTTTTCCGGAGGTTTTTTCACGTAACACCAGTCGATGAAATACTTCCGGTTGTATCGTATGTACATCCGGTAACAGATTTCCAAGCTCACTTCCCTTGTTCATCGTCCAAAATTTGCTCACTGGGTGTTGCGAGCTTGGTTTTCTCAACTAAAAGCTTTAACACGAGGAGTTGGCTGCAGCCATGCGGGTGTTTCTGTTGTTCGCAGTAACGGTGCTTTGTCTATGCCCGGCGGCGGTGAGCGGAGCCGAGAAGAAGAAGCTGCAGATCGGCATCAAGAAGCGAGTGGACAACTGCCCCATCAAGTCCCGCAAAGGAGACGTGCTGAACATGCACTACACGGGCAAGCTGGAGGACGGCACCGAGTTTGACAGCAGCATTCCTCGCGGCAATCCCTTCACCTTCACCTTGGGCACCGGGCAGGTGATCAAAGGCTGGGACCAGGGCCTGCTGGGCATGTGCGAGGGCGAGAAGAGGAAGCTGGTCATCCCCGCCGAGCTGGGCTACGGGGATCGGGGAGCTCCTCCGAAGATCCCCGGAGGGGCGACGCTCGTCTTCGAAGTGGAGCTGCTCAGCATCGAGAGGAGATCCGAGCTTTGATGAAGAAGAGAAAGAATAACACGTAATTACCTGTGAAAGTCACTTAGATTTACTCAAGCACTGTACTTAAGCACACATTTGGTGCATTTATACTTGAATAGCCTGTTTAGTTTTCATGCCACAGATTTGTACATCCAGTATTGTTCAAAATAATAGCAGTACAATGTGACTAACCAGAATAATCCAGGGTCACAGATGTGTATCACCTGGCCTCTGAATAAACTTCGTGGCTGGATATATTGGTTTACACTGCTTTAGATGCACGACTGGATGAATCTATTGAATAACAACTGTTGGCATCTTTAAACACCAAAACATTTGATTCATAAGCACCCTGAATTCTGAAACCTAAAAACAACCTACTTATTTTGAAAAAATCAGCACACCCACTTTTTTGCACCTGTGGGATACAGTTGTTGATGTCCTTCAACCTTGAAAGCCCCCTGACAGAAAGTATCTGCTCTACTGAATTTTCCTCAAGCAAGAAACTGAATCCCTACCAACTCCACCTGCAGCTCAGACCTGACTTCTTTGTGACAGTTTTTTTTCCCCCACAAGAATTAATCTAAAAGAAAAACAACACCCCTCTCCCAAAGACGTGTTTGTGTTTATATACATTTGCTGTTTTTTATGTTAATGTTCAGTGTACTGGTATGGTTTTTCAGGTTCCAAGAACTGCTGCAGCATTTAGTTCATCTGACTTCTGATGAAGACTACATGGCAAATCTGAGAATAGAGTTGGCACCTCCAGCATAGCCACTGTCCTCCTTTCAATGGCTCTGCTTGTTATGATGTGATTTATTGGACTGAAATTATGTGATTCAAGAAGTGACTGTATGTCCTTGTTAAATATTAGAGGAACAATTGGTCACCCTGTGAGCCCATTATTTGACCGGGGGCTGATCATCTAACCTTTACTTGTAATTTTCTGTGATTTATAAGCAGGTTCATTCATATTAGTAGGCTACATTTTTACAAAATTGTTTAGATTGTTAATTTAGTCAGAAATCAGGCAGAGGCAGATTAGGACAAATGTTTTTGTTCACAATGTTTGATTTCTGATAATAAAACATTAACCTTACTGTTGAACTCTGAAGTGGGTTTGTTGAACAAGAAAACACATTTCTATACTTTTCTTTGACTTCACTTTGTATTTTATAGATTTTGCCCATATGATTTCATGGTTCAGTATATAAAGATCTAGAATAATTTCTTTGCCCATATAGTTGCATAGTGCAGTATATAAAGATCTATAATAACACATTTAAAAGTCATCCATGAAGTCCCATTAATGCACTAAAGTATTTTTGTAATTACAACCTTGTATACTGTACTGTAAAACTAGATAGATACTGTATATAATGTGACTTAAAATGACAGTAAGAAATAGTGTGGGACCATATCTCACAGTTCAGCTTCCATTCCGGTGTATCCACAGTACAAATAATTTTTACATTTAAATTAGTACTTCATTAGATTAAATGTGTCCATTAAACCTGTTAAAAGAGAAAGAGTGCCTTTGTGTGTAGTAAAGCTGCAGTTCAATTTTTAGGTCTCAAAATTGTTAGGCTTCGAAAAAGTGGTGTTATTGGTTTATTTTAATTTGAGTAACCTATAGTATAGACCTACTTTTTCATTTTCTTAATTTAAGTGTGAGCTCCAACACATATACGTGTTTCAGACCAATTTAATTATTTTTATTTGCTCCTTTAAAGTTAAACGAACCGTACATCAACTGAAATACACGAAGAGAATAATATAATACCGACAGAGGGTGCCACTCGACTTGTGTAGATGTTAGTACCCACCCGGAGTTTTTTAAAGGACGGACACAAGGACAGGAAATTCCGACATCAGCGCAATGCTCAAACTTCGATAATTGCTGACCGCCTAATTGCGATTTGTTTTACCATGTCTGTTATATTAAATGCTTTGAATAGTGATTCTTACATTGATATTAGTCAGTACAGAGACCAGCATTTTAAGGTAAGTGAGAGAATATTCTTAAGGAACGCCATTAAACGAGGCTTTTAGCCTCAACCGTTTATCAAGTTAGCTAACGGAATGATGGCTAACTACGCGTTAGTGCACAATGTTTTAACACTGGCTAGTCTCTTTAGCTTTCTGAATATGCTTACCTGTTTACATTTTTATTACTACTTTTGTTTCTAGGGCAATCGCTATGACCAGGAGAAGCTACTGAAGCAGAGCCACACCTTGTATGTGGGAAATCTCTCCTTCTACACCACTGAGGAGCAGGCAGGATACGCTACGCTGCCATTGTTACTAGAAAACTAACCCTACATCATCACTTAAAACCTCTGCATCAACGTCTTTTGATATTGGTTTAATCCTCTTTTTGTTTGTTTGTTTGTTTGTTTTTTGTTTTGTTTTTTAGAAATTATGAGACAAAGATGAATAATCTATGACTTTCTTTTCAAGTCCCCAAAAGTCCTGTGACTCTAGT